CCTCTTATGTATCCATCACAGAAGAAAAATATAATCGACACATTTCTCACTCAAAAAGTGATTGCATGGGTGTCACGGTATATGACAACAGAAGTAAATGTATCGGACTATTATTGGAGCAACACAACATGCTTGGCTACATTTCTCTCTGATAATGGATTTTTACTTGATTACATCCCTGGAACAAACAGAAAAGCATTGATACAAGCTGGTGGATGGGGTATGGAATTTGTGCCAATTTGGGGTGATATTCTTTCGGATGTTATTCTTCTTGATCAAGCGATGAATACTTCGTCAAAATACAGCAAATACATGCGATACTTCTCTTTATCACGATTTAATCGGACTGATGAAAATATTGTACTACACAACGAAGGATTACAAACTGTACCGGCTTACATAATCATTATTGTACTTCTTCTTTCAAATTATTTTTGAATTATTGAAAAATCTTTTAGATTAGAAATAAAGAAAAGTATTCATGACAAGATATTTTATTTTTTCCAGGATGGGAGTAGAGAGGTGTCGGTGAAGCAAAAGAGGGTGTGGGTGTTGGTGTGGATGTTGATGTGGGTGTGGGTGTCGTATGTGATTGTAAAGATCAGACCCACACCCACACCCACACCGACACCCACACCCACAACGACACCCACACCCACACACCCACACCGACATCCACACCCACACAACCAGACCCACACCCACACTCACACCCACACACACCCACACCCTAGCCACACTCCACACCCACACCCACACCCACACACCCACACCCACACCCTATCCAATCGTTTACAAGAAATATTTGAAATAGACACAAAATATTCTCGTGTATTTACTCGATTTTCTAAGAAAACTATAGTTAAAGATTGAAAAAATGATTTATTGAATTATTTAATTGAACTATCCAATGAAATGAAAACATTAAATCATACAGATCAAATTGAAGCTTTAAACACTAAACTATCGATTGTACAAGCATTAAGAAAATTAGATTGGTTTTTAGACGGTGATGAAAAATTTACTGATATTTATCGTGCTTATCAAAATATAGTTTTTGAAAAAATTTCTGGCGTTAGTCAACAAATTATAGATGCTATTAAAGATTTTGATTATCAACGAGTTGCTGACAAAATGTTGGCATTACAATCATCGAATAAAGATGAAATGAAAGCATTACAGTCACCTAATGGAGTAGAAAAATATTACTATGTAGAATTTAAACGATCGCTTAATGCTGGTTTAAATCTATTGATGGAAGGAACTAAAGCTCAAGCGATTACACTTGAAAATAATATAGAAATAGAAGAAATAAAATTGATAGTAGAAAATTTGAAAACAATGGAAAAAGCAAAACAATTTATAGAAAACCATTTAGATGCACCAAATGAAATAGATTATTGTGTAGAAGATGTTAAAGAAAAAATCGAAAAGCAAATAAAACGTTTCTTAGTAGGAGTAAAAGCTCTTATAGATAATCATAATTTCTTTGAAGCAGTTAAAAAAATTGATTCTATCACGTTAGTACGTATTTTATTAGGAAAGTATTATGAAAAAGAAATTTTCTATCAGATCGAAGCATTAAAATACTCTGTTGATAAATATGCAGAAATGGATATTAGTCAATATACTTTGAATCCACCAACAGATATTTTTGCAAGATTTGAACAAGTTAACGACACAAATCCAGTATATAATGAAGCTTTAAGTACAATAAGAGAGAAAATTTTGACTAAATTCAGAGAAGAATTAGATAAAGCTAAATCAAAACAACCACCAGAATCGAACAACATACATATAAGACGATTCGAATC